GCGATCACCGAATGGTTAGAGGCACACTGAACCTAAACGTTAAGTTGGAGAGGTCTCGTCTAATGAAGTCAACGCTCCGTCCCCCTCGTGCTCTAATCCAGAATCCCGAAACCTTTCAGCTCGAGTTACGTAACCGCTTCCAGTGCCTAGAAGATTGCAATGCAGTGGACGATATGAACGACAAGCTCGTGGAAACTGTCCATGCGGTCGGAGCTAAGTTCTGCAAGACCCGCCGCAGAAGAACACAAAAACTCTCCGATCACACTCTTAATCTCATGGCTGTTAGACGGGAGATGAGGCTGCAATCGTCAACAGATTTGACAGCATACAGGCAACTGAACAGACAGATCTCCAAATGCATACGGCGAGACTTACGCAACTTTAATACTTCTCGTATTAAAGAAGCGATCGAGCGGAACCAGGGCTCCAAAGTCTTTGCCAGAGATCTGTCTGCCAGAAAGAGCCAACTGTCAAGGCTGAAGACTGAGTGTGGCAACATCGTTTCCGGGACACCTGAGATTTTGAGTGAGATTGAGAGGTTCTATGGGCAGCTGTACACATCATCGTTGGAGCCACACGCAAGTGTGAGTAACGATCCAAGAGCAAGTCTTATCCGACACTATTCCGATGATATCCCGGACGTCAGTCTAAGCGAGATTAGAATGGCTCTCCAGCACCTTAAAAACGGCAGGGCCCCAGGCGAGGATGGAATTACAGCGGAGCTTCTGAAAGCGGGTGGAACACCGGTACTTGAAGTCCTTCAGAAGCTCTTCAATTCCGTCCTCCATGGTGGCACTACTCCAGAGGCGTGGAGCAGAAGTGCGGTGGTCTTGTTCTTTAAGAAAGGCGACAACGCTCTCTTAAAGAACTACAGACCGATTTCCCTTCTGAGCCGCGTCTACGTGCTGTTTTCGAGAGTCATTACGAATCGTCTCGCACGCAGACTTGACGACTTCCAGCCTCCCGAACAAGCCGGGCTTCAGTACCATAGACCACATACATACCCTGCGGCAGATTGTACAGAAGACTGAAGAGTACAATCTGCCACTTTGCCTGGCGTATGTGGACTATGAGAAAGCCTTTGATTCCGTCGAAATTTGGGCGGTGCTACAGTCCCTTCAGCGGTGCCAAGTTGACTGTCGGTATATCGAAGTGCTGAAGTGTTTGTACAGTAGGGCTACGATGGCTATCCGAGTACAGAACCAGAGCTCGAAACCTATCCAACTGCAGAGAGGTGTAAGACAGGGTGACGTTATATCCCCGAAACTCTTCACCGCTGCATTGGAAGACGTTTTCAAGCTACTGGACTGGAAAGGATACGGTATTGACATCAATGGCGAGTACATCACTCACCTTCGATTTGCCGACGATATAGTCCTTATGGCAGAATCGCTGGAGGACTTAAGCACTATGCTCAATGATCTCAATAGTGCCTCCCAACGGATAGGTCTTAAGATGAACATGGACAAAACAAAGATCATGTTCAATGTCCATGTCACACCTATGCCGGTAGTTGTTGGGAGCACTATGCTCGAAGTTGTTGACGAATACGTTTACCTGGGACAAATAGTCCGACTAGGTAAGTCCAACTTCGACCGAGAGGTCAATCGACGGATTCAACTCGGCTGGGCAGCGTTCGGGAAATTACGGCATATCTTTTCGTCAGGTATACCTCAATCTCTAAAAACTAGATTGTACAACCAGTGCGTGTTGCCAGTGATGACTTACGGATCTGAGACGTGGTCCTTCACTGCTGGCCGTATGAGGACGCTCAAGGTCGCTCAGCGAGCTATGGAGAGGGCTATGCTCGGAGTTTCTCTGCGTGATAGACTCAGAAATGAGGATATCCGCAGTAAAACCAGAGTGACCGACATAGCCCAACGGATTAGTAAGCTGAAGTGGCAATGGGCCGGCCATATAGCTCGAAGAACCGATAACCGATGGGGAAGAAAGGTTCTCGAGTGGCAGCCTCGTACCGGTAGGCGTAGTGTAGGGCGACCCCCCACTAGATGGAGTGACGACCTGGTAAGACATGCAGGAAGTCGATGGATGCAGGTGGCTCAGGACCGTGCTTTGTGGCATTACTTGGGGGGAGGCCTATGTTCAGCAGTGGACTTGTGAAGGGCTGTAATGATGATGATGATGACTTTTTTCTTTTCGCTAATTATTTGTACCAGCAACAAATACCCGACGCGTATCGTTTCATCGTTAATTATTGGAATGGAGTTTTCGGCGACAAATTATTATTCCTGCCAGAAATTTAAAGGCGCATAGCTATACATACCTTGTTAGAATAATTTCTTATTTAGTATTGTAGCGCTAATTTATCCATGTGAAAATTTATATAACATAAATTTAAAGTTAATGTATACGTCCCACTGCTAGACACAGGCTTCCTCTCATTGTGGTTCATCATGTAGTTGCTGTAGCCCATAGACGTCTAGATCTATCTTGGATTACAAATCAAAGTGCAGATGCGTTGTCACCCGTGAAGACTAAGGTGGAATGCTTTGTTACCGGAAACGGTCTCCGGTTCTGTACACTTACCATACGAAACACAGCAGCATTAAGCTACTATTTTACGCTGGTATTCTGTGAAAGCGTGGTCCTTCTCCGGTCGAGCCGACCCATTCGTGCTACAACTATACTACTAATATAACTGCTGCATAGCTCTACCAAAATTGCTATTAACAATTTCATTAGTTCTGGTGGGATCAAATCTGGTTGCTAGTGTACAATGAAATTTATAGCAAGCGCTAAACATTGAACGACCATGGCTCTTTATATAATATAGCCATTTAAATTAACACAGATTACAATTTGATAGAATAATCCCCTTTAAACTGCACTAGCATTGCGAGCAAAATTGTAGGTGTTTTGTTTTATTTCTGGGAAGCAATGTGGGAGATCTTCTTCGTGTTTATCCTAAAAATCTTCCTGCTGCAGTATTATTCAATCGTCAAATATATCAAGCAACTTACTGCAATTGACAGACGATCACAGTATCGGTTATTTCACACGCACCTTTGATTTTGCTTTCCGTAGCCTCGCCGAATATTTTATATTTCGATGACAAAGCTTATTCATTTTTAATGTATGTACCTCACACAAGATCAATATTTTTAACATTAAAAAGTTCATTACAAAAATGAAACAACTTGTGTCTTATAAAGGTATTTTTAATACAAATATATTACAAATTTATTTTTTAATTTATCCTATCGATACAAATTGCAAGGTTGTGCCGGTTGCTCAATAAATACGATATTTCTAATTTACTAGTAAGTTCCCATTTTAATACATACTGAACGTGCCAGCTATAACAAATACTACATAGCTAATTAAAGTGATTAATAATGGCGATGAAATGCTGTTCTCATAGCGGGTCTGTTTGCCAATTTTGTTCTCAATAATATGATAGTCACTTTGTAGTACATTGCGTTGTATGTTTTATGAGATGTGTTAGCTCATATTGAAAAGCTATGTAGAGTGCGCAACACAACAGCACAGGTAATTTAATTAAATTATTGCAATGTAATCATAGAAAAGTAAGATTGATTCAATAAGTTATATTAAATTGATGAAATTTCATTGGATAATGATGATATTCAACCCTACATGAAAATTTATATCCTAATCTTAAAGAAAATCTATACAAAAATATAATGTATAGAAATATTGTAGTATCAAAAATTAAAGTAGGAAAAGATAAGAGTTTATTAATATGCTATAAACTGAAATATGTTTATAAATATTTTCGTAATAGTCCATAGAGACTATAAAGTCAATATTAACCGATAAATTATTTTTAAATTTTTAATTAATTAGGTATCGAACCTCATACCTACAGTTTTGTTACAAAAATGTCAACTGTATTGAAGTAGGATTGTTTATTTTTTTATTAACCAATGATTGACCGCATGTATCCATTTCTTCTGCTTTGTACATTTAACATTTTTATGTATATACTGTTGCGCGCCTAAGTTGACGTCTGGCACTAGCGCCATCTAGTGTCGGGTTACAGAGCGAGGAGAACTTTCCAGAAAATGACATGACAAATTTTTCAACCGACAGCGCCATCTAGTATCGGATTGAAGAACTAAGCTTTCTAGAAGGCCCCGCACTCGAACTTTCTGCGTCTGATCGGTCGACGCCCGTATCTCCCGGAATATTCTGGATGTTTCGGTGAAAAAGGTGTATAAAAAGGCGCGGCAAGACGCGATCGAGGCAGTATTGAATTTGGCGAGACAAGCGAAGCTTCGGAGCGAAATAAAGTGAATCAGTGTGATTAATTATTAGTGTGTTTAAGTTTTAATTGGTGTAAAGAAAATTAAAGTGTAAATTTTGGTAATTCAATCGGCAGTTTTTAATTGTCACGAACCTCAAGCTCGTAATAATACTAACCATGCCACATGTTTATTTTGTTTATGGCTTCTTATTTAACTTTAATATAGATGACGATAAGGTTTGTGACTTTAGAATTTATCAATATTTTAAAACCTTAAATACTCTTACTTCATGGGACAGAAACATACACAAGGATTTAATGTTATGATATTGCAAATGCTTTCTATAAAATTTCACATACAAATACCGTAAAAAATGTTTTGTTACTCAAAACTGGCATATACTTTTGAGTAAATATTGATAGCTGTTTATAATAAAACTTATCGTGTGCAATACTAAGAAGATATTTTATAAAGATATGAATATTCATAAAGAACCTTCTAGTTCAGCAAAATAATGACAGTTAAAGCTAAAATTAGGCCAAATATACTGCAGGCCTATTCGCTTTGTTGACAATTGAATAATATAGTCATTTTGTAGTACATTGCTTATTCTTCTTTAAGAGTTGATACAACTTATAAAACATACGACGCAATGTACTACAAATTTACTATAATTTTGTTCTCAGTGAAGTTAGCCAACAGGCCTGCTGGTTAGACTTTTGGTGCTCCTCTTTGAACACTCATTATAGATCGTGGCGTTGAAGACTAAGTTTAATGATGAACTTTTTCGTAGTACACTCCATGCTCGAGTGGCTCCTCTGGTTTTGGTTTGGGTACATATGGATTTTTAAGTGGGTCTGCGTTCAGTCTGAAAAAAAAGTGATTGTAGTTAATTAAACATAAAAATGTAGAAACAATACTAATACTTATGAGATAGTTAACTTAACTTTCATAAGTAAAATAGATATCCTCCATTCCATTCATTTCAGCCCATAAAAGTCCACAAGTGAACTTAGGCTGCCCCATATACAATCCTTCTCATATAGGGTGGATTTTGCCGTAATCGCTACACTTATCAGGAGAGTGACAACCGCAGGTTTTCGTAATTTTATGTTAATATCATGAAGATGCTTTTGCCCATCTCCTGAATTAGTTTTTCACTGTCGCCTCTTACGACACCCAAGGGACGGTATTAGGTAGTGGATATATTTACAATGGGGTCTAGATTTTTGTAATAACTAGGTAAACTACGATTATTAGTTTGAATAACCAGAACTAGATAGTCGAACTCCCCTGCCTCGGAGTATGTCCGGATAAGTACACCTTCTTACTTATTTCTGACGCTAAATATCAGTGTTTTCAATACTGTGTTACAAACTGAAGGGTATAGAGAGACATTATAATAACAGATTATAAAGCATTTTATCGTAGTTCTTTTTTATAGGATAGGGTGACAAACGAGCACACAGTCCACCGGATAGTAAGTGGTTGCTGTGGCCCATAGACATCTACATTTATCCTCGATTAAGAATAAATTCCGATAAGCTGTCAACCCTGAGGACTAAGATGAAATGCCTCGTTTCCGGTAAAAAGGGTCTCCAGTTCTCTACATTCACCATACGAAACACAACAGCATTAAGCTACAATTTTACGCCGGTATTCTGTGAGAGCGTGTTCCTTCCCCGGTCAAGCCGACCCATTCGTGCTACAACTATGCTAGTAATATAACCGCAGCATGGCTCTACTACGTAGGCACTCAGAGGTTACAACGCATCTGTAGTCTTGTTTGAAATTGGCTGAAGGTGTCTATGGACTGCAGGAGCCACTTACCACCATGTAGACTGTAAGTTTCCTTTGTCATTTCAGCTTTATAAAAAAATAATAATACTTACTTATAGTGTTCAATGGCCTGAGAACAATCTACGTTATACCACCAGTCACAAGCAAATTCAGCTTGATTAAAGAGCGTGCCATTAGTGCATAAGAAAGACGCTCCTTGATGTCCCTCGCGACCGTCGTGGCAAACATGATAGGCCTTAAAAATAACAGAAAATCAAATTTTAAGTATTATAATTGTTAATTCGCTTCCTCTGTACAACAAACTTATGTTTTGCAATCATAATTATCAGCGGTTTAATATTTATAGGCCACAGCTTTAAGAAACGTGACTTCTATTTGAAATAATTGAATGAGGATTAATTCAAATACGTAAAATAACAGGAAAACATCTTATTATACTCAGCGTGCAAGTTTGTTAAATTTGTTCCGCCTCGAAAAAAAAATGTTGTGATTATATAAGTTCGATATCACAAAAATATGTTTCATCAATTTTATTTTAAGAATCTCTGTTTGGTCTTTACTGTGTTGTAGACTTCCGTTACCGAATGTATTTATTCAATATATAATCGATTTGTAGACTTCTTGGTGCAGTGGCTAAGGGTCGTGGGTTTGAATCTCGTACGAAACAAGCATTTGTATGACAGACATGTAATTGTTCCGGGTCTGGTCTGTCTCAAATGTTTGTCCTTGTAAAATGTACGTATGTAAATTGCCCCCATGATATAGAAGTAAATCCTAGTTTGGAGGTCCCGTTTTTAAAAAATAAAAAATATAATGTTTATTTGTTCGTATTTTATGCGCTGACATACCGTTCATCAGACTGCGGCCAAACTTTGTCAACTTATTGTTTATACTTACGCGAAATATAGGCATAATACAATTAATTTACACTAGGTGGCTCAACTTCTATGAATATATTATTATTCCTAATTAAACAATATAATTCTTCCAAATTTAAAACTATATTTCCACAATTATTTCTTCCACGGCAGCAACGCGATAGGTACCACCTCGTAGTTAATATTAATGGCATCTGGTACTACGTGTACTGTTGCAATTCCTGTCCTTCAACAGCAGAGGATTATACCCAATAGTTGACTATTTATGTACTGAGAATAAGTTTATTCTATACTGAAGTTTACACGTAACTCGTTAAAGGGTAGAACATTCATCATTGGGCCAAGCGGTCGATTTTTAATCATTTAATAAAGGCAAAGGTCTCCACTGTGCGACTCTGATGGGAAATGTTATTGTATTCGTTTTGAGGTTTTACGTTAGGTTTTTCCGTATTGTATATAGTTATTAAAAATATGTGTTTTCTATACATATTAGGTTACAAATTATTATCATAATAAATAAGCTTTTGTGAAGTCCATTGCTTATCGCGTCGACGATATTATTTGGGTTTATGCGTATCAATTATATGATGTTATATTTTATTCATAAGCTTCTAAAATTTACAGAAACTAAACCCTTTGAATATAACTTATTATTTTGCGATACTTAAGTTAATTTTCTGTAAGCAAAATAAAAGTAAATTTACTTCGCGAGGCGTTTGCTTTGATAATTAACAAATTGTATTTAAATAAAGCCCTCCAAGTTGTAATTAAAGATTATCAACGAGTAATAAACTTTAAGTAAGTCTCGCCTAAGGTAAAATGCTTTTAACTTATTAAATTAGAAGTTATTCGTGGGCCATAGAATTCAAGCGGCCTGAAAATTTTCCATTTGGTTATTTATTCTAAACAGCAAATTAATTTACTTTCAATTCCTTCTAAGTAAGTTAAATTATATTGATTTCTTTGAATTTCGAGTGGTCAAATAGGCCAAGAAAGAAATCTTACGATATCCATACAAAATAAAAAGATGAGATGTTTCTAATTTAGCCTTTTTTGATCGTCGATGCAATGTCGAAATTACTATAAGACTGCTTCTGTATCTTAATGTGTGTACATAAAATAAATAAAAAAAAGAAGTGTGAAATGATTTTGAAGCCTTTGCTCTCACTGCGCGCCTGTGGCTTTGTAGATCCTAAGATGTAACGACTTCAATGGGGTTTTTAATTTGAATACGGTTGTTGAGTTGATCGTGATGATCCTTAGATAGATTTTGTAATCTATATAGTCCTTTAATAATGACCAGCTTACACTTATTGATGTAGACATCTAAGATATTCGTTGTATAATTTGTTTACTTCTACCACCACGTACATACCATTAATGCAACGATCGGTTTTTTTTAAATTTTGGTTTAATCTTATATTTTAATTGACAGTTATATGCCAGGTAACTTGTCACCGCCTGGATATTATTAAATATAAGAAATGCACGAAGTACAGATCTGTGTGCTACTTTTGCATGGCATTAATATTTAGCAATATATTTTTTTCATTTACAGCATTAAATTATTCTGTCAATACTACCTACTAATTTGAAGTAAAATTTTACCATTTTCAAAGTCAAGAGCATCACAAATTGATTGATAATTGTCACGCGTAAAGTAGAGTGCACATAATTAACTTGAGCTACAACATTTTCAATCGCTATATACTTTTATATAATATTTTTTTTAAATTAAAAAATAAGACATCCCAATTTCAACATTAAATTTCAAGTATATCTATGCCCTCCCTTCTACAACGTTCGCCTATTCAAGCCAATTTTTTCCAGACGATAAATAAATCAGCCTACATAAAATAAACCTCATTTTTACGGATTCCATTGCGCTTGCCACTGATCTTGGCCCAACCCGGCACCACTCGAACGAAGCATTCAAAAATACTGACTAAACTTTAAGTCACCTTGAAGAATAGATGAACTCTAGATTAAAACTCTATATAGTATACTCTCTATATAGTAAATTTTAGATGCTATTGATATCTATTTACTAACTTAATGTGATTCCGTGTAACTGGACGTTATATAAATTTTGTTTATATTATACGTCCCACTTATGGGCACAGGCCAGGATCTATTTTAGGCTAAAGTTACATGTTTTAGAAATATTTATACCTGACATCCAGTCTCTACGTTCGCGTACATTCCAGGATGTACTGGAACGTGTTTACATGAAAAGCTTGTTTCAGGTACTTCGTGGTAAATTGGGTAATCCACACCCGGTACTCCTGGCACGTTGCGGAGGTCCTGCGGCTTCTCGTGTTCCCTCTGGGGCTTGCGATAGACAGCTTGCTCATACTGTGCCGGATATGTATCATACTTCTGTAATTAGAAAAATAATTTGTATTATATTTAATTTCAAATACTGTTTTTTTTTTGCTTTTTTTATAGAAGAGGGGGCAAACGAGCGTGTGGCTCACCTGATGTTAAGTGACTACCGCCGCCCATGATCAACCGCAACACCAGGGGAATTGCAGGTGCGTTGCCGGCCCTTTAGAAAGGAGTAAGCTCTTTTCTTGAAGGTCCCCAGGTCGTATCGGTCCGGAAAAATCGCCGGTGGTAAATTATTCCACAGAGAGGTTGTACGCGGAAGAAAACTCCTTTTGAAACGTACAGTGGTGGACCGCCAAGCATCCAGATGGTGTGGATGGTATCGGGACGTTTGCTGTGTAGTGCGTTCACGAAATTTGGCGGCTGGGATTAATCCGAACAATTCCTCAGAGCACTCCCCGTGATAGATGCGATAAAATACGCGAAGAGATGCAACATCTCTTCGCAGCGCCAGTGAATCGAGCCGATCGGAAAGCACTCGGTCGTCGACGATTCGAGCCGCTCTGCGCTGGATGCGGTCAAGTGGAAGGAGCTATATATGTATATGTATCATACTTCTATATATATATATATATATATATATATATATATATATATATCGAATACTGTAAATTATTGAGTGGAAAGATGGGATGACATCATGGCCCAGGACGTTAGCGATGGGAATTTTCTTTAGTAACACACATGTTGCAAGACTCAGATAAAATTATCTTTGAGTAAAATATAAGAACCAAACCCAAACAGATAAAATAAAAATAAATATTACATAGAAGTCGGTGCTAAGACTTAAAGTATAGAAGAATTAAAATGCCAACTTAAGAATTTGTAATTGGTTTTCTTTTTTAGATTTTTGAAGTCGGCTTTCTTTTTTTTTTATTGAACTTAGGAACATTATAATCTCAATATGGTATAAATAGTTCCATTCAAAACTTCACCATCCACTTTAGTTTTCCCTGAAGTATAACGTATTTTTACAAAAAATTTATCATCAATTTTCGCTCACACTTGTTGAAGATTTCATGTACCATAACAAACAACAACATACAAAAATTAAACATACAGTCAATCCGTAAACTTCCTCCTTTTCGAAGTCAGCTAAAAAGTAGATTAAATCAAGCTAAGCTTAACTGTTCAAAGTAAATAAATCGAGGTTAAACCAATAAATAATAGCCATTCGTTCAGAGCAGGTCAATAGATTAGAAAATTCGTGTGTTCATTATGTAACTTTTGAGTAACTATACGCGTTCATTATAAAGTTTGGGCAAAAGAAGTAATTTATGGTATTTTTAGTTACTGATTTAATGAATAATTACATCGACAGATAATTTTCAAATCTTATCAAGATCCAGTAATAAAACCCTTCACCGAAAAATGTGGTTCGATAAAAGTTTATAGCAATTAAAAGAAAACGCAGAGCTTAAATTAAAATATGATTTTTGTGTAAACTCGAAAAGGCATAACTTATTTTATTTTTGAAAACATTACCTTTACAGTAGGATTTTCTTTGTACCGTGGAGACATTTAACATACATAAATTTCCCATAAACAAACATCCGGACTCGGAACGATAATTTATAGGCCATCACAGTTAATCCATGCGGGATTTAAACTATTATATCAGAAACTAGTAAGTATTAATCTTAATACGCTTAATTAACATACAAATTATTCTTAGAACATCGCGGGTTATGTTAGATGAGATCTCACGGGATCTGCAGCAATCTTGGTATAATAACATTCATACAACGCGTTCGGAAGGCAGTCAGACATGCACTGAAATCCTTACATTTTAAAGTTCTTATATTTAACAGTCCAATGACCGCAACCAAACTAAGCCACTGCGAGGGCAAAAATGTCACAGCCGCTCTTGAATATGAAAGTCAAATAATATACGCTAAAGAAAGTGAAGCAGTTACACAACGTGCGGCTAACCTTGACATAATTCCACTTTTCTTTGAGCCGACATCAACGTAATGAACTCATTAAAAGTGAACAAACTATATGTAGGTAAATGCATTTATATTATAATATCAATGTACCTACTTGTTTGCGCAATTTAATTTTAAACGTATTTTGTCGTTCATTTATTATTCATTTATGTTAATATATCAACGTTGGAAAAGCAAACATTACCAAGCGACATATAGGCACTTTACAGGAGAGATCAGGGTTTTAAAAAAAAACTCATTTCAATTGTACTGTTTATCATATTGATAGCAGTATAATTATAACGTGACTGAAAAGCTGTTTTGACCTTTTATTACCTACTATAAGTGAATTCCGATTTTGCTTACTATCTACAAAGTTAGCATTGCTTAGTTAAAAAATTAAAAAATCACGAACGGGAAAACTCGACTTACTGACAACCGACTCTTGATGTGAGAACGGAAAAAATCATAATGGTTCAATTTCGAATAATTTGTGCGTGGAAACAATATCTATATAATTAAAAAAAGACATTTCTATGATAAGGGTATCATGGTTAATAAATTTCAGTCTGAGATTTCTTTACCAGAGGAGAAATTAAAATTATATCTTGCCTCAAATAATTCGATGAAGCTTTTTGGTTTGAAGATAAACACTAGTACCTTTTTTATAGGATAGGGTGATAAACGACCACACAGTCCACCCGATTGTAAGTGGTGCTGGCCAGACATCTACATCTATTGTAATCAAAATGCAGATGCGTTGTCACCCGTTAGGGCTGAGATGGAATGTCTTGAATCCAGTAAAAGGGGTCTCCGATTCTCTACACTCACCATACGAAACACAGCAGCATTATCTACTATACCACGCTGGTATTCTGTGAGAGCGTGGTCCTTCCCCGTTCTAGCCGACCCGTTCGTGCTACAACTATACTTCTAATATAACTGCAAAATGACTCTGCCACGTATAAATAATACCTATTTGTATACTAAACAAAATAAATCAAAAAAAAAACAGGCAAAACAACCAAAAAGTATGCAAGGAAGTTAGCTTATGACGCTACATTACGGCCTTTTCTTTAATCTATGTTATTCAAAGGTTAAAATCTTTAACAAACAGCCTTTTACTTTTTAATTTAATAGCGAATCGCGATCACTTGCCAAATGGCCCCACGGGGTCGGCTGACACACGGGCATGCACAAGCTTTCAACCTCATTGGGTTGACATAATACTTGAGGGGCTTCAGAGTAAGAGTGATAAACAGGCACACAGTGGACCTGATAGTCAGAGGATGCTGTGTTCGAAGACACCGATAAGAAATAAAAATTAAGATGCGTTGTCACCCCTGCAAACTGAGAAAGAATGACGTTGAATGAAAAGTAATAAGTAAAAAATCAACATTATTATAATAAAAAAGAAAGCTTCGTTACCAGTATAAAGGGTTACGGCTTCTCCAAAGTATGAAGCTATTTTATGCTGGTATTCTGTAAAAGCATGGTCCATAGGGATGGACTAGAGAGTTGGGCCTACCCATTTTTTCTATATAAGATATAATATGCGTATTCGTTTGTAAATAAAAATATACGATATTAGTTTAAGGAATTTGATTTTTTAATTAGGATAATTCTAAATTTTTCAAATTTAGGAAACTTCCTACAATTATTTGGTTTGAATCCAATCATAAAAAAGAGAATTAATTTAATTAATTACTACACGAATTTATTATTTTTTCTATAATGGCTTCAGCATTATTTTGTATGTTATGATATAAACAACATCATTCCCAATAATGCGGCATATATTTTATATAAAAGTTTGATTTTGGTACTCGTATAATGACTCGCCTGGTACTTGTTGAAGTGATGGTGTATCTTTCTTAAATGTCGAAATATGCTCATTAAAACCAATTTTGATTAAAAATATTGTCAAAAATTACAGCCCATATACGTCCTACTCCTGGGCACAGGCCTCCTCTCATTTCTGATAGGGTTTTTTTAGTGCAAGGAAATGTCCGCCGGGCTGCCCCAATGCGTTGGCGAACTTCACATGTCTTTGAAATATATTTTTTCTCATTTCTCAAACATGCAGGTTTCCTCAGGATGTTATCCTTCAGCTCCAAACACGTGGTAAATCAGCACTTAAAATTGCAATTAACAATTTCATTGGTGCCGGCGGGTTTCGAACCCGGTTTGCTCGCGTATTGTGAAATTTACAGCGAGCGCTAAACCATCTGAGCTACCACGGCTCAAAAAATATTGTTACTTAGTTATATTATATGTATCATATTCTTAGCTTATGATTAATCATAAGTCAGCAGTATTATGCATCGCTTAGTATAAAATTCGGCTTCACGCATCTAGTTTATGCAAGCTGTTTTATTTACAGAGTAAGGGTGACAAACGAGCACACATTCCACCTGATGGTAAGTGAGTGCTGTGGCATCATAAACATCTACATTTATACTTAATTTCCCCGTCTCCGGTTCGCTAAACTCATCAAACGAAACACTTTTACGCTGGTATTCTGTGTAATCCTGTTCCTACCCCGGTCGAGCCGACTTATTCGTGCTACAACCATAACACATTTGTAGCGTGACATTTGTGCCATCCGTCTCCATTTTCTTCTCACATTACCTATGATTAAACACGGCTTCCATTCCAAAACAGCACGTTTTATCTAGAGATTTATGAAAACTCGGATGTTGTACCTTATTTTCGATTTCTATGTAGTCGATTGCTGAACATTCATCACACGGATCGCAACAGCATTAAGCTGCTACTTCACGCTGGTATTCTGTGAGAGCTTGCCCGTATATATCATAGCTGCAGCGTCACGCTATCACGTATAAACTTGTGCTATCTATGATCACAACACATCCGTAAGTGCACGCGCTGAAGCAGGCCTACATTCGTCTTAAATATAATTTACTCGATAAAAGTTTGTTCCATTTCTATTTAATAACTGTTTCCTAGATTTAGGCCCTTGGCACGGTAGGCCTTTGAGTGCTGAAGTGAGAGGGACAATAATCACCTTGTCATGGACGCCCGGCGCTTGCGCAGCCGGTCGAAAGCTCTGTGGTGCGGGTAATCAGAGGCAGGAGTTTCTTAATCGTTAAATCTGATAAGAGAATGTACATTCAAGCTTATATTTTGATATGTTGAAACACCGTTATTTGCGGCGTAAAAGTATCCACTACCCCGTATTATAATTTTGTACGAGGCGAAAGATATTGAAGATCATATATATATATATATATATATATATATATATATATATATATATACATAAGGCCCAAGTAACATCGATGCCTATTGAAAACAGTACGCTTCTACACATACTTTCTATCCCACTATAGTAATATCTCTCTATTTTTTTTTGAACGATTAAAATGTTTTCCAACTGAAAATATGACTAAAATAGAAAAGAAAATTACAGTGTATATTATGCCTTAAAAGTAACATCTTTAAATTTCATTTAATGTGTTTTATACGTGGTAGAGCCACGCTGCGACTATATTATGGTTGTAGCACGAATGAGTCGGCTCGACCGGGGAAGGGCCACGCTCTCACAGAATACCATCGTAATATGCAGCTTAATACTGCTCTGTTTCGTATGGTGAGTGTAGAGATCCGGAGATCTTTATTACTGGAAACTAGGCATTCCATCTTAGTCCTCAGGGTTGACAACGCATCTGCGTTTTTAGCCTTAGTCGAGGATAAATGTAGATGTCTATGGGCCACAGCTTCCACTTACCATCAGGTAGATTGTGTGCTCGTTTGGCACCCTTATTCTAAAATAAAAGACTTTTCAACTATTGAGATCGTAAAGTTTGATTTTTGAGAGGTTTACGAAACAAAAACAAATCCATTGCTCTACTTTTTTCTATTGACGCTCTTGATCTTGTCAATGAAATAAAATAATTTTCATTTCTATACATTTCTAACACATACTATGTGTTTTAAATACAGAAAAAGCATGAATATATCATTTAAAAAACAAAACGCCCATTCAACAATTTTTCGGCGACTTAATGATTTTTCCTTACAAGACTTCTATTCAACCGAATGAATAATTTATAACAGTCTTTATCTATGATATTGCCATTTTCTTGAACTCATTTCCAGTATTGTTTGAACTTTAAAAGCTATGGTTTTATTTGTATAACAATATTTAAATAACTTTTATATTTAAAGAATTTTTTTCTTTTTTCGAAATCAATTATTAATTTTCTTCTCCTGTGTTTGTTTTTTCTTCTACGATATCGCTATATTCATAACCTTTACAAATGAAAATTCATGTCATTTTTAAATAATTCATGTTATTTCAAATCAAAAACAAATGAGCCTTAAACGTATCGCAATATCAGTGACGTGTATCAATATAGCACTACTAACGAAGGAACTGTGTTTCATTAATTCGATCGCATTAATTTGGAGAATTTCGAACTCACAAATAAACTCCGTGGCTGCCTAAAGAAAACCCTTTGATTATGACAGGTATATAATCAAAAAGAAAACCATGATAATGGTGGATTCGTTAAATCATTAAAAGCCGCAGCTTAGGTAGCTGGGGCTTTTGATGTTATTATCACAACAGCACTATTATTTATCGGCAAAATAGTAAAAAAAAATTACAAATGGGGTGACGTACAGTAAGAGGCTACGTACAAGATTACACCATATTGCTCAATTGGTTTAAAAGAGACGGAATAATGAATTCTGTAAGATATTTTGCACAAGAAAAACTGTGCCCGAAACAAAATTTTATGAAATATTTGATACTGTCATACGTAACCGTTGCGATTATGTTGTTATGGTGATCCAGCTTATATTGGGAAATAAAATTGAGCATAAAGACAGTCCACCAGATCTTAAAATACGATTTTAATAAAAAGTTTTGGACAATGTTATCCTAAAATTTATGACTCATTTAATTACACATAAAAACTACAATACTCAAGTTCTTAAAAAAAATTATAAGCCAAAGTGCCAGAAGTTCTGATATAATTGGCGTTTAGGCCAAAATTATTGCAATAAAAGTGAGAGCCGTTACGATCTTAAAATATCTAGTAGCAATAACTCGCTCCCTCATAAGGGAACACTAACTTTTGCAATTTTCCTTTCTTTCGAGTTTCCCTTGAGCTCTCCAAAAGCGAATTACTGTTGGTTAAATTTACTTTCATTTTCGTCGGCTGAAGTAGGCCTACTTTTTAGTTTCATTTCTTTGATCAACGCTCCTTAAAGTGAAAATTGTTTGAAACTCCGTCGTGGCGCCAAATTGGTATTTTGTTGTAATCTCGCAAATTTGCACCTTGGACGGGGTGTTTCTTTTTTCATCGAGTCTTTTTTTTTCTTGTCTTCATTGAGTGCGTCGTTCGAGTTTGCGGCGGGAGTTTTCACTCCGTCCTCATTGCTATGTTGATAGCGATTACATCACTTTTTTTTTAAAAGAGGCCAATTTATAAAATATTAAATATAAGGTTTCATTCTGTTGAGGTTAAAAGAGTGTGACGGTAAAAAAAATTAACAGTAGAAGGCAATCTTTTTCAATTTTCATAGTACGGTGGGACTAACTTATTTATCAAAATCAGTGCTATAAACAGCATCCTCGAAATGACTACCTCGTTTGTCTAGTGGATGTGGTAGTATGACTACTGATCATGAGGTCCTGGGTTCGAATCCCGGATCGGGCTAAAAATTAATTATTGAGTTTTTCCGTCAAGAAATTCTCAGTAGTTGCCCGGAGTCAGGAAGTTGGCGGTGTCTCACCCCCGTGCCTCGGAAAGCACGTAAAGCCGTTGGTCCTGCGCCTGATCTCTCACCGGTCGTGTCGTGTCGTGTCGTTTACCCATCGGATTATGAGAGTGAGGGAATAGAGAGTGCACCTGTGCTTGCGCACACGCTTGGGCACTACAATCCTGTCCTGCGTGGATGGCTATCCTCCGTTGAGGCAGGCTGCTGTGGCCGAAATTCGGTCTGGAGGACATTATTATCCTCTAAATATGCAAATTTATATTTTTTTAAATCAATCATATATATAATCATAATTAATAACTGGATTAACTTTAACAGTAACAAATTTTGAAAACATTTACAAAAATATCCAAAAAGTAGATAGTGTAACAAATATTTGTTGACTAAAACTACATTTGATTTTTTTTCATCCATTACAGCCTAAAATCCTACGCTGACGCTGAACACAGGCCTCTTCCAGAGATTGCCTCATAGACTTTGCCATAGGGTTGGCAACCGCAGTTTTTTATTATTTTCAGATGTCATCAGGAAGGTGCAGTTGCCCATCCTATTTCAATTTCCCTGTATCACCTCTCACGACACCCATGGGACGATATGGGTAGAGGATATTCTTGCGATTATATCTAAATTATTTTCTACGTTTTATTTTGGACCTTAATTAATAGTTTATATCAACTAAAATTTATAATATTCGTTATAAGCCTAAATTTAATATATATAAATATAACATGGCATAACATAACATAACGTGTAACATAGAAGCAGATTTATTAAATTTGCAATATTCTGTATAAAATTCTTTAAAGCATTACATAATGAAGATGAATAGCAACAATGCTTACTTGTAAATAAGCGGCATCGGTCATTAGAGCACAGAGTAATGCGCACGTCAGTACTCTCAAAACCGCTTTGCCCATTTCTCCACACATCTTGATTTTACTTTATCTGCTGCTTGAATATAACACTACACTGCGCTCGTCGCCAAATGAGACTGTGCAGAGCAAGCAGAAATGGCTCCCCACTAACATGAGTTACTTACATATCTTGGTAGTAGGGTAAACTAAATGAAGTGGTAGAAATATTAAGGTTAAGTTAAGAACATGTTTGAATGCTACATTGCGTTATTACTTACCTATTATTTGTGTTGTAGTAATAACTGACTATGGCCTTGCTCAGATTAAAAACTTTACAAAAATCTTATCTTATAAGTGTAATGTATTTAAAATATAAAATATAAAAATATTTGTATTTTCATTAAATTTAAATTAAATATTGTTCCGAATAGCAAGTTAAATAAGACATTGCACGATACCTTGGTACTATCACGATAAGACTCTGTTGTGGTCTAAAAATTTCGGAAAATTTATCGAAAATTGTTGAATCGAAACTGTCAACCGGTGTTTAGGAGCAATATTATCAGTACTAACCTAACGCGGTAAATATAGGCAAATCTTTCGAGATGTTGGCGCTGTTCTGTATCGGGTTATGTCAAGAAGAATTATAAATTTGAAAAGCATGTTTTTTAACAAAGGCAACGTTGTCATCATCGAAGATAAAAAATCGTTGCTTGAATTTCTGTGATCAGATATGGCTTTCTCAATGTGAGGCCTTCCATTAGTAACTATTCTGTCAGTCTACCAGTCAAGATCAACACAATACCAGATATCTTGAACATGAGACGGCTTTAAAGGGATAAAATGCAGATTCAGGTTTTCTTTTATTTTTGAATATTCTTCAGCTCGGAAACAATCTGTAATGTCCTAGGAGTTCGTTTGGGTAAAAAGTAAAGTTACAGTCTATAATATGTCCCACAGCTACGCAATGGCCTCTTCTTCACGTTGTGGAGCAATCTTTTCCTCGAGCTGCTCCATTGCGTGTTCGCGTACACTACATGTCCTTGAAATATTGGCGTTTGCACCAAAAACATCCAAATTATAATGTTTCGAAAGTTGCTATGTAAAATAAGTCGCACAAAATGTTTTGCTGATGATTTTAAGTTTTGTTGCTGTTTGCGTTCGCACTGAATAAAAACTTAATGTATAAGTATGTATAACATTGAGTCTGTCAATCTTTACGTTCGCACTGTTGCTTGATTTATTTCGCAGTTTCTTAATATGTATAAAGTCGAAATAAATAGAAACTTTCAAGTATATAGGTATCTGGAACTACTAACTATATAGGAATAAATATAATTTATATGTTCCTATACCACATATGCGATTACGATGCTACAAAGCACGGTACTAAGCCACGTGCGTCCGTCGATTTCATGTATGTTTTAATAGGTCGTCACTCAATTAAATTGGGGATGGCCTACAATTTGCTTACCAGTGTGAGCTGTGATTACAGAACCTTTCCTGCCCATCGTTTGTCGGTTTTTCGAGCTATATGTCAATTCAAATTTTAAATTAGGTAAACAGGACTCCTTTAAGTTTGTAAGTGTTGCTATGTGGAATATTTACACTAACACACTACAACAATTGTTATCAAAATACTATATAAAGTTTTTCTTTATTATAAATCTTTATTCATTTTATCTACCCAACACATATTCTTAAAACTGTAAATTTATTGCAGAATACTACTAAATAAAAGGACAATAGTTTCGACACTATTAATCCAATTCCTATCGGTGTAATTTGTTCCTTTATGAATTTAATGAACCACTTTTTATAAAGTTCCACTTTGTAACATAGTTGATAAATTTGTCATAGCAAATAATCCTCCATTAATTTTTGTAATGATTGCCCTTTTATAATAATTTCATGTATCATTTATTACAAGTCCCTTTTCATTGGTATCCCAACCTGTTACATTTTTGTTGAATGATTATAGAAACCAGTTAAATTATAGGTTAAGATTTTGTCAAAATTTTAAGAGGTGAAACATCTGTGACATATCTTACTAGGTGGTGGGACTCTATTCCTGCCGCGGAGTTCGTCCGGGTAGACCCTCCCACCTAGTTGCAACTAAATACAGTGCTTGCTCTGCTGCGTTCTTGTCCAACACATCTGAAGTCTTCTTTGTCTGAAGTTAGCTACAGGTGTCCTTGTTTTGAAGCAGTCACTTACAATCGGATGAGTGGTTAGTTAGTTTGCCACTCCAGTTTTATATTTAAAAAAAAAACTATGTTCTATTTTTTTGAAGTTGGCTGCAATTGTTCATGGGCTGGAGTATCCACTTATCTTTAGCGGACTGTTGACTCATTTGTCGTCCTTAAATTGTGAAAAATAGCCCGTTACAATAAATTGTACGCAAATAATCAGAAAAACGGAATGTTGCTCTGATCTCCTGATTATCCTCCTGACAAGTACGCCGAAAAAAAGGACAAGATACATATATAGCATAAAAACACACAGTTTCAGTCAGCACAGCCAGTTTGGTATACATATATTAAACACCGTCGTACATTTGTTTTTCTGTGTGATTCCTCAGTGTTGTTATGTAAATGGCCTAATACAAAATTTTAAGATTTCGTTAAATCTCGTAGTGTCGCAGTTACTTTGACTTAAAGTGATAGAGACAGCGCGAGAATCAACGGCTTCATAAAATTGAGAAGCGTGTGAATATTCGAGCAATAGCAACATCGTTATTGAAACTATTGGATAAAGTAAGAGTATATTATAATAAAGATATAAAAGTACTGTCGACGTGTCGATTTTGCTGCGTATTTTATGTATTCAAATTTGCATTTTATAATAAATCGTAATTAATATATTTAATCCTCCCTACGATGGGAGAGGCTTACATTCAGAAGTGGATTTTCGCAAACTGTTAATGAAAAAGAATCACTGTCATAAAAACTAATTTTATGGATTTTATCGCACTTAATTTTAGGAAATGCCCACTGAAGGAATTGCTAACTCTTTGGATTTATGTAAGGTATTAATTGTATTCACAGAAGGTACATCACTATTTTCAATACAACTATTTTTACCTTGTGCATACAACCTTCCTTTTCCTTTCCCCTTTTTAGAAGCTATCTTTTCTAGAAGATATCCCTATCTAAATCTTTTTTTTTTAAGCATTCACGTTTGCAAGATAGATATATAGTTAGATCGAGGTAATTCAGCATTGGAAATTGCAAATAACAACTTCAGTGCTGGCAGATAATGAATTCGGGTCGCTCTATTACGATTAGAGACTATCAAAAGTTAACTACAGTAGTACTTTTGATTTTGAGCCTATGACTCGAAGGATGTTTTGGGATAGAGTATATTCTCACACCGCCACAACACGATTCTGATTTTCTCCTTCACGTTTCTGCTGGTAGTGGTATAAATTTAAGTAACAAAATAGTTATTTACATTGTTCGTGTCAAAGCTATAAATTGACAGAAATATAATTTTTATACAGAATAAGGGTGATAAACTAGCATATATTCCACCTGATAGTAAGTAGATTATGTAGTTCACAAACAACCACATTTATCCTCAATTAAGAATCAAAATGCAGATGTGTTGTCATCGACCCATTCCTGCTACGACCGTATTATATAGCGTGGCTCTACCATGTCAAAAGAACAAACAGATATTTGATGGTTAATAAACTTTGCTATAACGATTTCTTTATTACGCGAACACTATACATTGAATAAAAATTTTTACGAGTTTTATCGTCTTCAATTTTCTTAATTTTATTACATGGGTGCTGGAAAGCATCCGAAATGTCGGGTATTAAAATTAAGAAAAATTAAACATGATAAAATCAGTAACAGTATTTTTATTCAAAATTTTGGTAAATTATATTTTAAAAAAACTATATTAACATAACGTTCGAACGAAAAACTATACTACATACGATTAACGTATGTAATTACAACACATATTAAGTCGGTATGCGATTACACTGTTAGTTAATTATGAAGCGCTTTCTGTTTTCACGGATTGTTAACCGCGATCGTTATATGCAGTCGGTTAGATATCCTTGGACATATGTATGAGCAAATGCATCCACCGAGGATTTAACAAAGCTAGTTTTAGTGTACTCGATTGTAAATAACACATTTCATGTAGTTGTTTCCTTTAGCTTGGTAGAACTACGCTACAGCTATAATATGGTCGTAGCACGAATGGATCGACCCGACCGGTGGGACACGCTCTCACAGAATTCCCACGTAAATTAGCAGTTTTATTCTGCTATGTATCGTATGGTGTAGAGCCATGCTGCAGTTATATTAGTAGTATAGTTGTAGCACGAATGGGTCGGCTCGACCGGGGAAGGACCACGCTCTCACAGAATACCAGCGTGAAATAGTAGCTTAATGCTGCTGTATTTCGTATGGTGAGTGTAGAGAACCGGAGACCCTTTTTACTGGAAACGAGGCATTCCATCTTAGTCCTCACGGGTGACAACGCATCTGCATTTTGATTCGTAATCGAGGATAGATGTAGATGTATATGGGCCACAGCAACCACTTACCATCAGGTGGACTGTGTGCTCGTTTGTCACCCTATCCTATAAAAAAAAATGGTGAGTGTAGAGAGCCGGAGACCCTTTTTACTGGAAAGAAGGCGTTCCATCTTAGTCCTCAGGGGTGACAATACATCTGTACTTTGATTCTTAATTGAGAGTAAATGGAGAAGTCTATGGGCCACTGCATCCACTTACCATCAGATGCTGGTCGTTTGTCACCCTCAATCTATATCAAAAAAGTATATTTAAATAAAATTTATATTATTTGACGAATCTTTTTCTGTATTATTCAATTAAAGGTGACAAAACTATATTCCACTACACTATAATTTACGTGGTAGGACCGTGCTGCAGCTATATTATAGTAGCACGAATGGGTCGGTTCAACGGTTACGTTGAGGAAGGACCTCTCATAGAATACTAGCGTAAAATAGCAACTTAACGCTGCTCTTTTTTATGGTGAGTGTAGAGATCCGAAGACACTTTTTACTATATGTGAGTCATTTTACTTTAT